CGCCCCGGTGGCAAAGCTAAATACAGTTCGGGTTCTTCTATCCCTTGCAGTGAATTTAGACTGGCCTCTTCAACAACTTGACGTCAAGAATGCATTCTTAAATGGAGAGTTAGAGGAAGAGGTCTACATGACAATACCACCAGGATTCAACAAAAGTGGGAAGGAAAATCAGGTTTGTAAACTCAGGAAGTCTCTATATGGCCTCAAACAATCACCGAGGGCATGGTTTGATAGGTTTGCAAAAGTGCTGAAGAGTCAGGGATATCAGCAGGGACAATCAGATCACACCATGTTTTTTCATCAGTCTAGAGATGGTACTAAGACAATATTGATTGTATATGTTGATGATATAATCCTAACTGGAGACAACATTGCTGAGATGGAAAGATTAAAGAAGTGTTTGGCCGCAGAATTTGAAATAAAAGATCTTGGACAAATGAGGTATTTTTTGGGTATGGAGATTGCAAGATCAAATAAGGGCATCAGTATGTCTCAACGGAAATACATACTTGACATGCTAAGAGAAACTGGCATGTTAGGATCTAAACCAAGTGACACTCCTATTGAATCTGGAAAGATGAAGGACACAGGGAGCCCAGTGGAAATAGATAGATATCAAAGATTAGTTGGAAAGTTGATCTATCTCTCACACACTAGACCTGATATTGCATTTGCAGTCAGTGTGGTCAGTCAACACATGCACTCTCCCAAAGAAGCTCATCTGGAAGCAGTATACAAAATTCTCAGATATCTGAAAGGCACTTCTGGGAAAGGATTATTTTTCGGAAAAAATAAAAGGATGGGAATAGAAGTATTTACTGATGCAGACTGGGCTGGATCAATTGAAGATAGAAGGTCTACTTCTGGCTACTGTACATTTGTATGGGGAAACTTAGTGACTTGGAGAAGCAAGAAACAGAATGTAGTGGGTAGAAGCAGTGCCGAAGCTGAATTCAGAGCTGTGGCTCAAGGGATTTGTGAAGGGCTGTGGATAAAGAAACTCTTGGAAGAACTGAAAGTGAATGTTGAACTTCCAATCAGACTCTATTGCGACAACAAAGCAGCCATCAGTATTTCCCTTAATCCAGTACAACATGACAAAACCAAGCATGTAGAAGTGGACAGGCATTTTATCAAAGAAAAAGTAGAAGATGGGATTATTTGTATGACATATGTCCCAACAACTGAGCAAATCGCGGATATCTTCACAAAATGATTGTCACGACAAAGTTTCAACGAACTCCACAACAAGTTGAACATGATCAACATCTATAGTTCAACTTGAGGGGGAGTGTAGAAAGTCATACAATATGGAAATTATAATTTATTTAGATTGTTATTTTTGGTTAATTGGTAGGTTGATTTATTTCCTTTCTTAGGTAATTATAGTTTCCTTTTCCAATTTACATTGTATAGTATAAATAGGAGGTATAGGGTTGTGTTTTGTAGAATTGTGGAATAAAAATTTCAATATTCCAATTCCGTTTTCACATATATTTTGCCACAACTAATGTATACAAATTTTCTAAATCTATTCTCCTACTGATGTTCATGACAAATGAAAGTCAAAGTTTGGGACATTAAACACTAGTCTTTTTGTACGAGATATCCATGAATGATATTAGGATATATTAATATTGGATAGATTAATAGACAGTTCATGCAGTTTTTGTTTCTTTAGTAATTTCTATGCTTTATTTGTATAGCCATTGATTTCAATGATGACCTTATCTTTCACATTTCTTCCATTCGAAAATTATTGCATGCATATACATCCAGCTCAACAGACATTACAATCTTCACCTTCCAAGAACAAATTAAAGTAATACACCATGACAAGTTAATAAACCAACAATGAAGAGACGATAATTTGCCAATGAAGCAGGATATGCAGAACCCTGATTGTACATGCTGTAAGTTGACTACCATTTTACAATGAATAATTATAAACACATTTAAAAAACCCAAAAAAAAAAAAAAATGATTCACAGAGTTCTGGGCCCAAAAGAACCTGTGTGGCCGTAATTCTGAAAAGAGAACTGATCTCCCGAGTTTCCTTCTTACTAATAGTATCTTTCAGAGCAAATACTGATTGCATGTATTTTATAGCCTTGGGATTCAGCAAATCTCGGGGTTTCTTACCTGCATAAATGATTTTAAATAAATACAACTATCTATTTGTCTTGTCAACTGAGAAAAAATCAACCAATGAACAGAAAATCAACAACACCTCGTGTGATCAACGGGCAAAAACAGTAACAAAATTTAATTCAGTGTCATTTGCTCAAATTTGCAAGATAATGTAATTCAGTGTTAAAAGCATAAATATAATCCGAAATGAAATGGACAAAATAAACCGAAAAATCAATCAATAAACAAAATTTAATATAACCAAAAAAAAAAAAAAACGAAGGAAGAAGAATGAAAGGAGTCAGCGTATTATGTATAATCAGAAGAAACGAAGAAAGATTACCATTTCTTGAGAGAGCGGATTCACACCAGTAAGTTCGCATTGAGTGGTGACAATATTTTTTAGGTGTTCAATCTGGCTCTTGAAAAGACCCAGCTGTGCGTGCAGCAAGTCATGATACGACGTCGCAGAACTGGTAGCAACTGCCAATTGATTCTCCTCCTTCGGCAACTCCATTGGTAATTTCAGAAATAATCTCCAAATCGTAACACTCGAATTATAAGAGTTGCAATTGGTAAAAATTAAAGTGGTCGAAATGTATAACAAAAAAAACCGTGCAAAAGGGCCATGTTTCTGGAATTGAAAGAAACAGATTGGAGAGACAAGGGGAAGAAATTAGGGCTATGAATTGCGCAACCTAGAGATGGCGAAGGGAGAGGAACGTAAACAAAACAGGGAACGGGAAAGAATAGGGGGGATTCATTTAAAAGGATTGGTGAAACTAAACATTTGTTCAAAAGATCAAGAATTAAGATTTTTAGTTGGAAGGTTGAAAATTATTAAATATGGAAAATAAAATTTGTAAAAGACTAAAATATTCTTGTATGTGAAATGATGATATTGTCCTTATTTTCATTTTAATTTCCTTTCAACTTTAATCTCATTTCCTCCTCTATGAACGACTCAATCACGATAGATGCTTTCATGCTGATTTTCTTATCATCATCTTCTTCTCTATTTAATGAAATCACAAAATCTACATTCGCATTCCCTTGAACATTCATTTGGTTGAAGTGAATAATAAAGTTTTGCTATATTTTTATTGGGCATTTGGAGAAGAAGAGAGGATTTGGTAAATTTTCGATATTTGAGCTGCTTTCTTTCTCCATTATTTTGAATCATCCATTCATGTTGTTGTATATGCGTTTGTGGTGTTCATTTTTCAATGATGATTTTGAATTTATTTTATGATTTGATTGGATCTTTAAATAGGCTACTTCTCAATCTTATTCTCATTACCCCTTATTCGTATTCCTTAGTATTAATTGAAGTGAAATGTAAAGTGGTGAAGGATGATTGGCTTTTTTCACATTGTTTTCACGTGAAACGTGTATTTGATTCCTTCAATACAGAACGACATTCAGATCGTTTTATGAAATTGTGAACGAGATAGATATCGTTTTCTGAAATCCATGACAACGTACATATCATTATCAATATTGTATGATGTTTAAAATTTGATGAAATTTATATGTTGAGTTACAGGTTATGGACACCATGGACATGGTATGGATATCGATTTGTTATCCAATTGAATATTAGCAGACAGTTGAAGGTGGATGGAAATGGAAGTATTCTGGAAATGGCAAAGGGAAAAAATACCTATTCTTGTTGCAAAAACAATTTCTTACATGGAACTATATGATAAAATTAAGGAGGCATTGAATATCAATACGAGTCTATACAAAATGGAGATTTCAGCTTTTGTCCCGATAATGTCTAAAGCTCCAGCTGCACCAATCATAATTGATTATGACAACAACGTAAAGTGGTTTATATCTTCCTGTACAGAAACTTTTCTTTGTGTAAGTATTTTAAATGAAGTTGTTAAGAATCAGGAAGATTTTGGTGATGAATGATGTTTATTAGTAATAAATGGTGGAGAACAAATTGGAAATATGAACAACGAGAAGGAACAAGATCGAACAGACAACGATGGTAATGATGACAATGGTGATGGAATATTTGTAGATTGTAATGGTTTTGACGTAAGTGAAGATAGTCCCCGAAGGGTAGATGATGAAGTTAATTCTCCTGTGGCAGATGACAATAATTTTGATTTACGCACGCATGAACCTTGCAGTAGGGATATAGTGAATGATAATAATGTTGAATGTACTCAGATTGTATCTGAAAGTGTAAGTTTGCTCTATTACGAGACATCGGTAAAAATTTCGGAACAATTAGATGTGCGAGTCAACCAGTTGTTTCCATCGAAATATGACATAATATCAAAATTACAGTTGCTAGCTGTGAAGTGCCAGTTTGAGTACAAAGTTAAGAAATCAAATAAAAGCACTTATACAATTGTTTGTATTGATGAAAATTGCAAGTGGCGCTTATGGGCAACCAAGATCGTAGAAAGTCCCATTTTCGAAGTTCAAAAGTACAATGGTCATCATTCTTGCTCCATAAGTGTTCGTCACAGAGATCATACGCATGCTTCATATATGATTATTGGAAACCACATCGCTCCTAAGTATGAAGATGTCAACCGAGTTTACAGACCAAGGGACATTATTAATGACATTCGTCGAGAGTTCGGCATAATCGTAAGCTATACTAAAGCGTACTGGCTAAAAATTTTGCTTGTGGACTGATTCGTGGGAAACCCCGTGAGAGTTATGCAAAATTGCCAGCGTATTGTCATGTTTTGGAGATGTAAAATACTGGTACACCGACATTCATTCATACTAATGATGATCGGTACTTCAAGTACCTTTTTATAGCATTGGGACCAAGTATACATAGGTTCGTAAACTCAATACGAAAGGTAATTTCTGTAGACGGTGCATTCTTGACATCGAGAATGAAAGATACTCTACTCGTAGCAACTTCTCAGGATGCAAATTTTCAAATATTTCCACTCGCATGGGTAGTAGTTGATTCGGAGAATGATGAATCCTGGACTTGGTTCTTTCAGAAGTTGCGGTTAATAACAGGTGATATGGATGACCTTGTGATTATATCTGACCGTGCAACGTGCATCAAAAATGGAGTTAGAAATGTGTTTCGATTTGCTCATTATGGTAATTGTACATATCACTTGCAAAAGAACTTGAAGACAAATTTTCCACGGTGTGATGTTGCAACTTTGTTTAGGGCAGCGTCAGAGACTTATACTGTAACCGAATCTGAGTCCTACATGGCAGTTCTATGCAGTAAAAAGGAGGGCATCAAAGAGTACCTATTAGAAGAAGATTTTCAATGTTGGGCTAGAGCGCATTTTATCGGGATACGTTACAATATCATGACTACAAATAATGCGGAATCTATAAATGGTTTGTTGAAGAGTGCTCGAGAACTTCCCATGGTTGGTTTACTAGAATATATTCGTGGGATACTACAAAGGTGGTTTTATGAAAGACATGTTGAAGCAGAAAAATGTGTGACCCAACTCACGCCAACATTAGAGAAAAAGATGTGCATGACATATAATGAGTCAAATGGGTTGGAGGTAAATCAGGTTTCTCCGGACATTTATCAAGTTGGTGACAATTTAAAACACCACTTTGTGGTTTTTTACGAAATGACATGTACGTGTAGAAAATTTGATTTGGACAAGTTTCCATGTGCGCATGTAATTGCTGCAGCAAGGTTTAAAGGAGACGAGGGCTATAAATTATGTACCCCTTTTTACACTAGTATTTGTTGGAAGCAAGCTTATTCTAAATTCGTATATCCTTTGCCAAACGAGGTCGAATGGCAAATTCCTAAGAATGTGATAGTCAGAGAAGTATTTCCACTATTGGCACGAAGACAGGGCGGACGACCAACAAAAAGAGGAAAAGGTCGGCCGGAGAGACGCGTGTGGCTCGTAAGTGTAGCAGGTGCAAGAAAACTGGTCATGTTCGATCCACTTGCACGGGCCAAGCAGCTAGTAGTGAACATTAATGTTGTAACACTATCTTGTTTTGTAATTGTACAACTTCGTACTTATTATATCAACTGAATGAAATCACTTATTAGATTTTGTACTCATTGTGTTATTAAAATATTTTGTACCTTTGGAATCAAATTTTAGTATTTTAGGTATTCATGTTCATATTTTCTCACAGGGAATGCAAACTACATTCATGTCGTTACAGTATACATGAATGTCGTTCCAGTTCAAAAATTATACAGATTAACATAACGAGTTATAAATCGTTTCTGAGATACAAAACGACATTTATATCGTTTCAATGTTAAATACACACTGCTTCTCTGATTTTTCTTAACGACTTAGAACTCGTTATAAACATAAATAACGACTTAAAAGTCGTTTCAGTTAAAATTGATACTAAAACAATTTCTACCTCGTTTTCTAGACACAAAACGACATTCATATCGTTTCAATGTTAAATACACACTGCTTCTCTGATTTTGCTTAACAACTTAGAACTCGTTATGAATATAAAAAACGACTTAAAAGTCATTTCAGTTAAAATTGATACTAAAACGATTTCTACCTTGTTTCTGGGACACAAAATGACATTCATATCGCTTCAATGTTAAATACACACTGCCTCTCCGATTTTGAGTAACGACTTAGATATCGTTATAGGCACACATAACGACTTCTAAGTCACATCAGTTAAAATTGATACTAAAACGATTTCTAACTCGTTTCTCGGACACAAACGACATTCATATCATTTCAATGTTAAATACACACTGCTTCTTTGATTTCGAGAAACGACTTAAAAGTCGTTTCAGGTAAAATTAGTACTAAAACAATTTCAAACTCGTTCCTAAGACACTGAACGACATGAATATTGTTTTAATGTTAAATATACACTGCTTCTCTGATTATCGTTTCTTCTCGTTCAGAACGACATTGATATTGTTCTAGAGTAATTGTTCCTGAAAATTGATCCATCTCGTTTCATTATAAACCAGTCGAGTTCGAAATCGTTTCAGTTGAAATTATAAGTGCAACGACATCTGTATCGTTTCTTCACAGTTGAAACGACATTAGTATCGTTATGCTTAAAAATGACGTTTCGACCATCCACGGCCACCGACATATGTCCCACTGTGCGTATGATGATGAAAACAGGTCATCGAGCTGGCTCAATCTCAATCTCACTCGAACGACGCTATGGTAACGTTTGTTATTTCATAGTTGTCTTTCACACTCAGATTGTTTCCATAGAAACAGGGCATCTCTGTTGGCTCTTTCGGGCCATTCGAGAGCTACCAGCCCACTTGTTACTCTCTTTCGATCGTCATACACATTTTGGAGGTATGTGCAGTGATCGAGGACGGTCGAAACGTCGTTTCTAGGTATAACGATATAAATATCATTATGTTCTTGAAGAAATGACTTTGAGGTCGTTGTAGATATTATATAAACTGAAACGAGTTAGAAGTCGTAAAATTACACAAAGAACGACATACATATCGTTATGTACTAAGTACTGAAATAACGTAACGTTATCCATCTCGTTTCTTTACAAATCTGACGAGTTCAAAGTCGTTTCACCTGGAATAATAAGTACAACGACATCGGTATCGTTTCTTCACAGTTGAAACGACATTAGTATCGTTATACTTAAAAATGAAGTTTCGGCCATCCACGGCCATCGGCATACATCCCACCGTACGTATGATGATGAAAACAGGTCATCGAGCCGGCTCAATCTCACTCGAACGACGTTGTGGTAACGTTTGTTATTTCATAGTTATCTTTCACACTCAGGTTGTTTCGATAGAAACAGGACATCTCCGTTGGTTCTTTCGGGCCATTCGAGAGCTACCAGCCCACTTGTTACGCTCTTTCGATTGTCATACACATTTCGGAGGTATGTGAAGCGATCGAGGACGATCGAAATGTCGTTTCTAGGTATAACGATATAAATATCGTTATGTTCTTGAAGAAACGACTTTGAGGTCGTTGTAGATATTATATAAACTGAAACGAGTTAGAAGTCGTAAAATTATACAAGGAACAACATAAATATCGTTATGTACCAAGTAGTGAAATAACGTAACGTTGTCCATCTCGCTTCTTTACAAATCTGACGAGTTCGAAATCGATTCACCAGGAATAATAAGTACAACGACAACGGTATCATTTCTTCACAGTTGAAACGACATTAATGTCGTTATACCTAAAAACAATGTTTCGATCCTCCTTGATCGCTCCACATATCTCCGAAATGTGTATGACGATCGAAAGAGTGTATCAAGTGGGCTAGTAGCTCTCGAATAGCCCGAAAGAACCAACGGAGATGCCCTGTTTCTATCGAAACAACCTGAGTGTGAAAGACAACTAAGAAATAACAAACGTTACCATAGCGTCGTTCGAGTGAGATTGAGTCGGCTCGATGACCTGCTTTCATCGTCATACGTACGGTGAGACGTATGCCGGTGGTCGTGGATGGCTGAAACGCCATTTTTAAGTATAACGATACTAATGTCGTTTCAACTGTGAAGAAACGATATCGATGTCGTTGTACTTATAATTTCAGCTGAAACGATTTCGAACTCGGCTGGTTTATAATGAAACGACATGGATCAACTTTCAGGAACAATTATGCTAGAACAATATCAATATCGTTCTGAACGAGAAGAAACGATAATCAGAGAAGCAGTGTGTATTTAACATTAAAACGATATTCATGTCGTTCTGTGTCTCAGGCACGCATTTGAAATCGTTTTAGTACTAATTTTACCTGAAACGACTTCTAACTCGTTATTTTTTGTCATAACGAAGTCTAAGTCGTTTCTCAAAATCAGAGAAGCAGTGTGTATTTAACATTAAAACGATATTAATGTCGTTTTGTATCCCAAAAACGAGTAAGAAATCGTTTTAGTATCAATTTTAACTGACACGACTTAGAAGTCGTTATGTGTGCCTATAACGATATCTAAGTCGTTACTCAAAATCGGAGAGGCAGTGTGTATTTAACATTGAAATGATATTAATGTCATTTTGTGCCCCTGAAATGAGGTAGAAATCGTTTTAGTATCAATTTTAACTTAAACGACTTTTAAGTCGTTCTTTATGTTCATAATGAGTTCTAAGTCGTTACGCAAAATCAGAGAAACAGTGTGTATTTAACATTGAAACGATATGAACGTCGTTTTGTGTCCCAGAAACGAGGTAGAAATCGTGTTAGTATCAATTTTAACTGAAACGACTTTTAAGTTATTATTTATGTTCATAACGAGTTCTAAGTCGTTACGCAAAATTAGAGAAGCAGTGTGTATTTACCATTGAAACGATATGAATGTCGTTTTGTATCTCGAAAACGATTTAGAAATCGTTTTAGTTTCAATTTTAACTGAAACGAATTTTAAATCGTTATTTATATTTATAACGAGTTCTAAGTCGTTACGCAAAATCAGAGAAACAGTGTGTATTTAATATTGAAACGATATGAATGTCGTTTTGTGTCTCCAAAATGATGTAGAAATCGTTTTAGTTTCAATTTTAACTGAAACGGCTTATAAGTCGTTATGTGAGGTTATAACGATTTCTAAGTCGTTACTCAAGATCAGAGAAGCAGTGTGTACTTAACGTTGGAAAGATATTCATGTCATTTTGTGTCTTGAGAATGAGGTCAAAATCGTTTTAGTATTAATTATAACTGAAACGACTTAGAAATCGTTATGTGTGGTCATAACGACTTCTAAGTTGTTACGCAAAATCAGAGAAGCAGTGTGTAATTAATATTGCAACGATATGCATGTCCTTTTTTGTCTCAGGAACGAGTTTTAAATTGTTTTAGCATCATTTTTAACTGAAACGATTTTGGAGTTATTATGTGTGGTCATCACGAGTTCTAAGTCGTTATGCAAATAAGAATAGTAGTGTGCATCTTACATTGCAACGATATGACAATGGAAAACGTGTAGGTTTGTACATGTAAAACTCAACAACCTGACATGGACAATATCCAAACTTTAAAGTTATAGAAGACAATGGAAAGCATGTATATTGAAATTATATTCAAACTCCAAAATAGGTGCTACTCCAAAACCAAAACAACTAAGTGATTACATAATGTTATAAAATATAAAAAAATTATGAGCAAAGCACAATCTACGGCTCAAAATCTCAAGCCAACAACTCTGCAGCCAGTTTCTTTCTCCATACTGGTACGTAATCCGGTCGAATTGTATTTAAGTCCATATTTGCGTGCAGAAATTCTATGAATTTGATAGCGAATATTCCATAATCGAATCTACAAAAAAGTTGTAAAATTTTTGTATTAATTTTCAATACTCAAGATAATATAGTACTACTAATTATGAAATTAGTCATTCTTACCCGTTCACTTGTTGGGGAACATCTTTTACGTTCACAAATTTGAAGTTTTCCGTACTATATTTGCTTTCACTGGTGACATGAGATTTTATTATCAACGGAATAAGCACCTGTAGAGACAAAAAGTAAGCTTCCAACACTGCCCGACGAATGTGACCCTTCAGACTATCAAACATTAAAATGGCCCATTCCTCTATGTCGACTTGAACTGCAAACCAATGGTCGTGGGTCCAACTAGGAAGATACAAATATTTACAGTCCTTCCAAGGTTTACCAAGCTCCGAAGTAGCCCCTCTCACATAATTCATTAGACTCTTATTACATTTGAGCTCTTTAATGGACTGTAATTGGCCATATGCATTGACAACAAATTGATAGAAATAAGTGTCCAATATGCAACAGTCTTGCCGAAACAGATTGGAAAATCTGGAAGCCCTTTCTCGTATATGATATAGGGCCTTGTTCATAATCTACAAAAATAAACTAATAAATTCAAATTGAATTCTTTTGTGACATTATCATAAAATCATTAAAGTTGGATTACTTACACTGTCATTAATCCAACTATCCTCTTTCGAAAGATCCATCAAACTTTTTGCTTGAACATCATAGAAGCGTAAAGGTATAATTTGGCTGTGCATACAACAAAATCAACACGAAGTTATATTTAGGTAATACTGTCATTACTTTCACATGTACTTACAACTATATGTAATAATTTACCACGAAGATGTAGTTTTCATCCATTTGCAAAAAGCCTCAACCTTGTTGAGATCTACTTCTCGATAAGGATCGTATACATTGATGTCCGACAACTTTCTCCTCTTCGTCGGGTCAGTGTACGAAGAACACAGTAAGCGCGCTTTTCTCTTTCGACGATACCCTCGTCCTTTCAATGGATCGGATCCCGCCTCATGGATTTCTACAACGTCCCCTATATGTTACAAATAACAAAAATTAGAAGTGGAAAATTTGTTTCATTTGGATTTAAAGATGTAAAACTTAACTTTGAATTCATTTTTACATACCTTGCGTGAATTCATTTGTATCTACATCATGCTTTTCAGGCGTCACAAAATCAGCAATCCCTTTCTCCACGTCGGGATGCTCCTCCTCTAATATTATTTCTTTTCCAACACTCTCCTTGATCATTTTTTCATTTTCTTGCTCATCTATATCATTCCTAGATCCAACTTCCTTTTCCAAGTCCTTCCCTCCTACATTTTTGCCTCTAACCTCCTCCTCTAACTTTAGGTCCTCCTCACGCACTTCTACATTTGTTTCAGCGGGCTCACATCATCAAATCCAAGCTCAGTTTCCAACTCCTTCCCTCCTACATTTTTTCCTCTAACCTCCTCCTCCTCCTCTAACTTTGAGTCCTCTTCGGGCAGATCTACCTTTCTTTCAGCAGCATGCACATCTGTCACATCATCAAACCCAACCTCCTTTTCCAACCCATCCTTCGGTTCATTTTCTGGTACATAAGCTATGCTACTAGTGGCACCATCAAATGCATTAGTTGCTGGATGGAACCGACCCGCCATAGCCAATTCAACGAACCTGTCAACCTTTTTCTCCGCCCGATCAAGTCGAGTCGATATAACTGCTTGTAGCCTTTGATAAGTGTGTTTTTACACACTTATTTGGATCATAAACATGACTTAAACATGGATAAAATGGTGGAATTGTGACTTGATC